TATAATAGTTTATTTTTACATATTTTGTTCGTTTTTCCATCTCAGTTATAACCCCCATGGACTTCCCATCACCAGTTCACCCGTGTGCCATCACCATAGTCCCATGTACTACCCCCCATTTTTGATCCCATTCCCCACTCCACCCCCGTAAAATGTCTCTTGTATATAGTTGTTCATTATTATCTCCTCCCCCCAACCCCCGGTCCTTTATGCTCCTGCTGTGAGTGACACCATGCAGTATTTTTCTTTCTGGCTGGTTCAAAATACCAAAATTCTTCTAAAGAAAAACAGTAACAGCGAAAACATACAGCATCTTTAAATAAAATAACCAGGAAAATCTCGGCTTAATAACAAAGAACTTGCATTCCTTTGATGCAGAATAAGGCATGCTGAATGACTATCCACAAATTTAAGGGCATCGTGTCACTGCACAGAACAACCTTTGCAGAAGTCTAAGGTCCTTGCACATCAGGATCATTTGGCATTTTTTTCCCTATAGAAGAAATGATTTTATAGTATTATTCTTGCCTAAAAATATTTCTCTAGATTTCTGTAGAGAAATAGAAAACTGAAGTCCCTTGAGTTCTCTAAGCAAAGTGTAAAAAAAAGAAAACAGAATCAGAGTAGATCAGTGCCCAGCCTCTTGGCTGGGCTTCCCAGGCCATGGCAAAGGAATGGGATTGCTGTTCTGGCCCGCACCAGTAGCAAGACCACAGCAGCTCCACAGCCTTATTCTCGGGGAACATGAAAACTCACCCAGGACTGACATGAACTGCAAACAAGGTCATGTTGGTGAATGATTAGTGTGAGTTATCATCACTGGGGTTTTTTGTATGTGAAATTCATCATGCACTAATAAAGTTCCCTTTGGCCATTTTCATCCCAAAACAACTCTTGAGCTCATTTCATGATTAATACTAAGTTGCTGTAGTGGGATATTATGCGAATCCTATGTACATAAACCAGTAAGGCTTAATTTGATTTAATCTGCTATCAATTAATGATGAAAAATACTTCAGAGGAACCAAATTTTCAATCAGCAATCCTGCTTTTGAGAACCATAAAGATCCTCTCCTAATGTTAACAGAACTGTTTGACATAAGGCTAAGGACCCCTCCAAGAAGATCACATGCAATAAGGAGCAACTGGTTACATATAAGAATTTATTATATGGTTTTCTGCTTTTGTTCAGGGAAAATTACATGAATCCCCAAAGCTGGATCAAAATTGTTGTTATTTTGTGCTTGGAGCACATTGACTCCAAAAAGTGTGTGTGTGTGTGTGTGTGTTTTAATTTAATTCTTTTTAGCTCATTTCATGATTAATATTAAGTTGCTGTAGTGGGATATTATGCGAATCCTATGTACAAAAATCATCCATGTTAACATCTCATCTACCTCTCTCCTTTAGCCCTCCCCCATTCCCTCTGACAGCCATCATATTCTTTCACTGAGTTCAAGATTTATTCCTACTCTATTTGTCTGTGTATGTGGTTATTTGTATTCCACAAAGGAGTGAAAACATCTGATATCTTTCACTTCTTGATTTATTTAATTTAACATAACAACATGGAGGTTTTTTGTCCCAAATTTTGTCCCAAATTTCACCTTTTATCACAACTGTCTGGTAGTTCACTGAGTCTAAAGTTTACACTGTCTTTATCCATTCTTCTGTTAAAGGGCACTTAGGTTGTTTCCATGACTGAGTAATTGTGTACAGTGCTGCTATGTATATAAGTATAGATAAATCTTTTAATATTAGAGTTATAATATTATTTTGGGTAAATACCTAATAGAGGTATTGCCAGAGCATATGGAATTTGCGTTTTTATTTTCTTTAAAAAATTCTTAATACTATTTTCCATAGGGGTTATACCAACTTGCATTCCCAGCAATGAATGAAATTCTTTTACCGTCATAGCCTCATCCACATTTGTTGATTCCATTCAGTGATGCTGAACAATTTTTCATATGTCTGTAGGCCCTTTGTCTATTTAATTCCTTTTCTCATTTTTTTTTGACTGGCTTGTTTGATTTTTTTATTGTTGTTAGATTATATACAAATTTTCTAAATCTTAGAAATTATCTGCTTGTCTTATCGTATGATATGAAGTACTTTTTCCCCTTCCATTGGCTGCCTTTTTGCTTTAGTGATGGTTTCTTTTGAGTTACAAAAGCTTTGTAGTTTATTTTTCCTTTTTTCCCCTTGCTGTTGGTGTTGATATCTTATAGAGTGCCCTATATTTTTCTTTCAAATATACTTTGTCATTTCAGTTTTTATACAATATCTTTTATCAATTTTGAATTAATATTTGTGTATGAAGTTAAATATGGGTCTTGTTTCAGTTTTTATAGGTGACTATCTATGTTTCCTAATATTATTATTAAAGAGGCTTCCCAATATCATTATTAAAGAGGCTATCTTCTCTCCATTGCATGGCCATACCACTTTTGTCAAAGATTAACTGTCCATATTTGTGTGGGCTTGTATCTAGGCTTTCAATTCTTTTCCATTGGTTTTTGAGTTTCTGTTTTTCCAATACCATACTGTTTTAATTATTGTTGCTGTGCAATATAGTTTGAAGTGTGATAAATCCATTTTTCTTTTTTTCCTCTCAGGATTTCTTTAGCTATCTAAAAAAAATCTAAAGCAGACTAAAGGACTTTTGTGGTTCCATATAAACTTTGTGATTACTTGTTCTATTTATTTGAACAAAGTCATTGGTATTTTGATAATTATTGCACTAAGTTTGTAAGTCGCTTTATGCAATGTGGCCATTTTAATGATTTCAATTCTTTCAATCCATAAGCATGGTTATCTTTCCATTTCTTTGTGTGTTCTTTTTTCCTCTTTAACAAGATTTTATGATTTTCAGTTTATAGGTCCTGTCCCTCCTTTGTTACTCCAGGTATTTCATTCTTTTTGGTGTGGTTGTAAATTGGATTGTATTCTTTATTTCCTTTTTTTTTGATACATTATTTGCAGATAGAAATACCACTGATTTTTGAGTATTGATTTTGTATCCCGCCATTTATTGTATTCATTTGTTATTTTTGGTAGCTTTTTGTAAATTTTTTTTAGATTTAAAATACAAAGATAAAAAACCAAATATGTAAAATTCTACATTTAAGAAGATAAGTGTTTCTGAAAAAAATTGTTGAAGCACCTCCTCTCACTCATTCGCATGTATGTAATTTTTAAATACTTTTGGGATAGTTTTACAAAACATTCATTTACTACAATTTCACACATTTCATGAACATCTCTGAGTACATTAGTAATTTACTTTCAGATTTACATTCAGGTAGTTAGAAAAGAACTGTGGAACTTCTTGAAGTTTCTCTATTGGATTTTACAATTGTTAACTGAATTGTGCAGATCTTCCTCATTTTTTGATAAGTTATGTCCCAATAAATCTATCACAGTTGATTATATAGTAAGTAAAAATGTTTGCATACACATAACTTATCAATCATCATAATTTAGCCTTTCTTACCTTAAATATGCTCAGGCTACTTTTTGTTAGCCTACAGCTGGGCAAAATCAACTCACACAAAGTGCTGACCATCTCACAAAATGTACAGTCACCAACATGGAGAAAGATCAAAAATCAGACCTTGAAATACGGTTTTCACTAAATGCATATTGCTTTTGCTTTTGAGTTAAAAATCAAAATTGAATTGTCTTAAGTCAGGGAGAAGTCATGCTCTTAGTGGTTTTCATCTCAGAGTTATTAAAGTGAAATTGGTATTTAAGAGGAGAAAAATCAAGGAGCAACAAGTTCCACTGAAGGTCTTTCTACTGTACCAAAAGTCTATTGTGAGTAATATAACTTCAGATAGATTCTGGAGTTTTTCAGTAGTATGCTCATTTAAGATATTTCTCTTTTCTAATTTAACTTTATTTTAAACTAAGTATGCAAAATTCTTCCCATATGTGATTAACTGTTTTTGTGTGTGCACATGTGTGTTTGGTGGACTAACTAGATGGCTTTAGAAGCAGTACTGAGTTTATATGAAAGAGAAAAGGGCTGATGGACATGCAAAGATCTGCATCCAGCAAGACCAATTTTTAATCCCTCCTTTCTCTCAAATTGGGAGAGATGGGCTTATTGGCTTTTATTACCCAGGTACCATAATTGATTCCCTGTGTACATTCATTTAGACATACCTCTCTGATATAATACCCATGTGCAATGAAGATAGCAATTGTGATTTTGAAATGCACGGACTGGACAGATTTTAGAAACTATAGTTAGGTGTCAGCAGATACTAATAAAAATCTATTTTCATTTATCAGGCCTGTTTGCATCCTTTACATGAGCCAAGTACTATGCAAAACACTGACGCTATACATCAGGCTTTCTTCCTCCCAGCACTAACAATGGGGCTTGGGACACTAATTCAGTCTTAGGGGACCATGAGTAAACTTTCATGATTAGATTTTTTTTATCTTTGGCTTTAATTATTAAATCTGAGAGTGCCTTTGCCCTTCCCCAACATGCCCATGTTTTTCATATATATGAGCTCTTAGTGACTACAAGATAGTATCTAATCATCCAGCGTTTTCAAGAATCACAACATTTTTTGCATTTCATCTGGTTCAGTACTGACACTCAAATGCCAGCATGCCAGGCAAAGTGTATGTGTCATTCCCCCGTCCAGAGTGGCAATCTCCGAGCTCACACAAGCCTCTGGCAGCCTTAGCTTCCAGAGTTCCCAGTGGTTGCCTGCAGTCTCCTCCCTTCTGCTCCTTAGGCTGGGAGTGCATTGTGACCCAGGATGGTCTGCAGTGCCATCCTGAGTTCCAGCCTCCCTCCTAGTCCTCTGGACAAACCTTAGCAGCCTCAACAGACCCACAGCTCAGTGACTTGCACAGGGACCTCCTTGGGTGTCACCCACATACCCTTCCCAGCTGCTTGGCACCCATCCCCTGTGGCACACTGAAAACAGCCCCCATCCCTTGATTGCCAGGCTCCTATCTTCTTCTGATCCTTACAGGAGGTGCCATTGCCGAGTCCCATGTCCCCACAGGTGGTGGAAAACCAGCAGCTGTTCGGTGCCCTCAAGACCTTGCTGGAGGACCTGCGTGCCGAGCTGCGGGAGGACGAGCGTGCCAGGCTGCGGCTGCAGGAGCAGTACGCCAGCGACAAGGCTGCCTGGGACATGGAGTGGGCCGCACTCAGGTGCCGCCTGGAGCAGGTACGCCCCTGCTAGGCCCTTCACTGCCGTCTGTGTTGTCAGGGACAAGGAGGGGGTGACCTAGTGACTCAGCCACTGTGGCCCTCCTCCAAGCGAAAGGCATCTGAGGAGAATGCCATAGCGGTTGCCTGCTTCTCTCTCAAGTTCTTGGTCTTTCCCGGCCCTGGCCCTGCTGCGCCCTCATCGTCCTCTCCCAAGTCCTCTCCCAATTTTAGGTTGTATGCCTCCTCCCACTCTGCATGGACCTAGGCTGTTTATAGCCCTATCAAGTTGTCCAGCATGGAGGATGGTCAGAATGAGTGGACATAATTCAGACAGGAGCAAGGAAAAATGCAGATTATGCTTTAGTTTTCACTGAAGAAGGTAACTACATGCTTTCTTGGCATTCTCAAAATAGCAGAAAGAGCTGTAGACCTCACATGCCCTCACAGTCTAATCATTCTCATCATCCTTATTTACACGGAAGGAAATGAGGCCCAGGAGATCACAGAGCCTTCCGTGCTGAGTGGAGAGCAGAGCGGGTTTCCTGCCTCGCCCCTGCCAGTAGAGCAGTGTCTTTGGATGTCTTAGATCACAGCCGTGGTTGACAATCAAATTTAAAGAAGTGTTTTTTTTTTTTTTTTCCCAGTGTTATCTCCCTGGACAGTCTTAAAAGTGGGGACTGCACTGTCTGCTTGCTCAGAACCTTTCTCCAGATTTCTTTGGCCCCTTGATGATAATGAAGGAGGAAAGACCTAGGCATGTTTGCCAATCTATTTCCTAGGCCCTCTCTCCAGGCAAACCATAAAATAATTACAATTTTATATGAGTTGGTTGGGTTACCAACCAACCAAGAAAAAATATGCCCAGGAAAGAGTTATATTCCAAATGGCCTTGATAAAAGATGAAAGGATCTGTCACGTCAAAGGAAAACAGCTCCTCTGTTCTCTCATTTCCCACAAGTTCACTTGCTTTGCCAGCTGGCCCAGTGAGCGGTGGTGCCAGGCCCACAGCCCTGATAGAGCAGAGATATGACAAGGCATAGCAAACCAAGCCCCAACCAGGCCCATCAGGACGGGAGGCACTGACCCAGTTATGCAACCCGCCCTCCGCCTCATAGGAGATTGTTCTGTCTATCTGGGTGCAGTAAGCAGCCTGAAGAGTCAGTGGAGGAGGGATGAGTAAGACCACTTTCTGATGAGCTGCCTCTAAACCTATTTAAAAATGTGTTTATGGGGAGAAAAGCTAAATATTTTCAGACTCTAAGTGTAGCTAAAGAAAGGAGGCATCTTTGATGCAATCCAATTTCAAAACATTTCATCTTTGTTTTAGAGAAATCTGGTATCCACCCACACATTTGCAACCAAAAAAAAAAAAAAAAAAAACAGTGTCAGGGAATCACTAGGCACTAGAAATAAAGCTAGGTAATAATAGGTAAAAATTAATCTTCCCAAATCCTTTGTCCAAAGTTTGTTACACATTTGCAGCCCAGAAAGCAATGAATATGGGCTCATGCTAGTTCATTTAGAATAGTCTCATCTTTACTTAACTCTTCTATTTAAGTGCAAAACAGTTAAATTCCAGAAAATGTTAAATGTTTTTAGGAGAGCCCATGTCAATTCCCAAATCTGTGTTCTTTCAGTTGACTCCCAAGTCAGTCCTGTTCCAACAACACTTAAGATATCTTTTGTTTTTACCTAAGACCTTTCCGAAAGGGGATTCCAGTGTGGTAGGAGGCCCAGAATCTTGCGATGCAGCTGACCCTAGCACAACACAGGTTCAGACTGCCTGGGGCCACTTGCACACGGATCTCTTGTAAACAGACTACATAAACTAAGGGATTGATAAATACAGGACTTAAGTGCATTTTCTCACTATTTTTTAATACCTTTTTCTTTTACTTTTTTTTTTTTAGCTTACATTAGTGTAAGACTGTACCATAAGCAAAAACATACAAAATATGTGTTAATTAACTTTCATCAATAAGACTTTCAGTCAACAGCAGAATAACAGTAGCTAAGTTTGGGGATGTCAAAATTCATACAGGGATTTTAACTGTTCCCTCTGCCCCATTGTTCAAGGATCAGTTGTAATTTACACTAGTGTGAGGAGTGCCTGCCTGATCAGGAAATGGGGCCATAGAAAGCTTGTTCTGCAACTGGAGGATTCAGAAAGGTTATTTTTGAAATTCCTGCTTAGAGTGAATTTTAGAGGGTGATTTGGGGTGGGTACATGGGGAAGGAGAGGACATTTCCAAAAACGGGGAACATTATAAAGGAAGGAGCGTGGCAGTCTGAGGCACTCCACCTAGTCAGCTATGAGGGAAAGAATGCTCAAAGACTTGAAATCTTCATCTGGATCTATCAAGAAAGTAAAACATTCTGATTTGCATTTTAGAATGTTCATTCTGATTTCAAGGTAGAGACTAGATTAGAAACCATTGCAGTTGAATAGATTAGCGTGTGTCCATGATTAGAACTCAGTGACCTGCTGTACCAGAACAAGGCAAGGTAGAGCTTTATGTTCACTGGCCTTTGACTAAACTTTATCATGCTCGGCAATGACAGTAGTTCCCCAATTCCTTCCTCCCATTCTCTGTATTATTGCTGTTGAGCAGTTTTCTTCTTTATGCATAAAACACTGCAACTATTTTTGCTTTAGACACTCAGTGATTTTTTTTTTTATTACAAAGTTTATTTTTACATCATTCTGCACATTTTTTTTTCCATCTCGATTGTAATCCCCGCGGGTTTCCCATCACCAAATCACCCCTGTGCCACCACCATAGTCCCGTGCATTTCCCTCCCTTCCCCCCCCCATTTTTTATCCCATTCCCCACTCCACCCCCGCAGAATGTCTCTGGTATATGGTTGTTCATTATTTTTGTTATTTTCTCGCCTGGTCCATTATACTCCTGCTATGAGAGAAACCATCCGGTATTTTTCTTTCTCTTTCTGGCTTATCTCACTAAGCATGATCTTTTCTAGCTCCATCCAAGTTGCTGCAAAAGACATGTGTTTCTCTTTTTTGGTTGCTGAGTAATATTCCATTGTATATATGTACCACATCTTTCTAATCCAGTCATCTACTTTTAGGCATTTGGGCTGCTTCCATGTTTTTCCAATTGTAAATAAAGCAGCAATAAACATGGGAGTAAAAGTATCTTTTTCAATCAGTGTTTTTGTGTCTTTTGGGTAGATACCTAGGAGTGGGATTGCTGGGTCATAGGGAAGCTCCATGTTTAGCAGTTTGAGGAATCTCCAAACAGTTTTCCATAGTGGTTGTAGTAGTTTGCATTCCCACCAGCAGTGCAGGAGAGTTCCTTTTTCTCCACATCCTCGCCAACATTTGTTGTTGCTAGTTGTTTGAAGATGTGCCATTCTCACCACTCAGTGATATTTTTAAAGCAGTTAAGGTAGGGGAAGTGACACCATTTCCAGTGTTCTTTATTTTGATTTGTTTCTTTTTGTAAACAGAAGCATGCTGGTATCACAGGCCTTCTACCTGAGATCTTCCTCTGTCATTTCTTGAAGCACAGCAGTGATTTCATTTTCATTGTTTAAAAAGTCTTTTTCCTTTATTTTTGAAACATATTGTTACTGAGTGTAGAACTCTGCCACTCTTAATGTATCCCCTTTCAGCCCTTCATCACCTTCCAGTGTCCTTCCACTCAAATAGTTGTGAGAAGTCTGTTGTCATTGTTAACTCTGCTCTTACATTTTTTCTCTGTCTGCTCTTCTGATTTTCTTTTTGGTTTTTAGCAGTTTAAATTTGCTAAGCCTACGAGAATGTTTGTTTTGATATTTTATTTGCTTTGACATTTGACCTTCGCTTGTTTGTTTTGATATTTAACCTTCAGGGTGTTTTATAAATATTTATTGTGGATTGCTAAGTTCTTTCACTGCCCTTTCACTAGAATTTATTTGTGACTAAGACCTGCACCTGTCCTACAGAAGCTCTGAAGGAGGTCACATAAGTAGTGTGTGTTTCAGGCTAGGACAGTGGAGCTGAGAAGCAGGCTACCCAACTCCTGCTAAGTGCACTCACTGAATAATAATCTGTGTGACTGTCAAACATCCATAACTAGGACTTTAATAAAAGCGAAAGTTGTTCTTCCATGAAAATTCCATTCAAATCTTCATTTAAACATGTTTCCAGGGCCCTCCCTGGTGGCACAACTGGTTAAAGCACAGCACTGCAAAGCTAGCCACGGCCACAGCCGCTTTCGTGCTAGTTCAATCCTCTGCCCCGGAGCTGACCCACATGACGCAGCAGACCTCTCCTGGCTCGCCCGCTGCCTGTTCTGCTCCCCACTCTGCCTCAATCTGCCTGTTCTGCTCCCCACTCTACCTCTGGTGAATCCTCTCACTGCCCCAGCACTTCTGGCCTATACCCCAGTACTGTATGCATACATAAACAAATCTTTAAAACAAAGCAAATAAACATGTTTCCAGGGATAACAGGTAAATGTGATAATTTTTACCTGTTAATGCAAGACTTGTCAGGAACCAGTTCCTAAATCTTTTCTCCCTTGACAGTTAGAAGAGAAGGCTGAGAAGAACTTGGGGGAGCAAGGCTGCTCTGTGGATAGCAAAGGGGCATTTAAGAAGGAGAGAGAAACCCACCAGAAGCTCCTTGCTGACAGCCACGGCCTGGTCATGGACTTGCGCTGGCAGATGCACCACAGCGAGAAGAACTGGAACCGGGAGAAAGTGGAACTCCTTGACCGTCTGGACAGGGACCGGCAGGAGTGGGAACGGCAGAAGAAAGAACTCTTGTGGAAAATAGAGCAGGTAAGGACCGGTTGCTAGGCACCTGAGAACAGTGAAGAGTGGAGATGACTAAACTGACAGGAAAATCCGTCTGATCAGAGGTTCTTGCTGCATCAGAGTGTTTCATGGGCTTCAGAGAAAAGAAAGAAATTTTAGAATTTCTATTACTAGACACCGTGACATAGGTCTTCTCATTGCAAAGTCTGTAGGTAACTTTCATGTGTGTGTGCTGTGTGTATGGGCAGGGGTGATGGGTAACTTTTAAGAGAAAATGAAAGACTGAACTTGAAAGATGAGGTTATTTCAGGTCTGGTAAAGTAATTTCTGCCAAAGTAATTTCCAAGTTTGCCACTAAAGATCTGGTCACAGTGACTGCTCTAGCTTGAGTGGTATTGCTGCCCATTAGTAAGGAAATTGCTAAATTAAGTCAGAAGTCAGGCTATTAGCACCTGCTGTGGGTATTGCTGAGCTGTGACCAGATAAGGTCATAGTCAGGGAAGGTAGCTGGGAGAACATCATCTTAGCTAATGATTTGTCAGATGATTCAAAAATTCATGTGTTCAAGTGGGTCAGGAGTGCTTCTGCTCCAGGCAGTTTGCATAGTTGTAGCCATGCCTGAGTGGTGCACAAACTAGATTTTCACATTAAAATAATGAAGTTGTAGAATTATCTCTTGGCTGCATTTTACATATTGTACCATCTATTTATTTCAATCTCTCGCATTTATAAATTCACAAGGCCTCGAGGAAATGTGTTAATCAGTAAGGAACTGAATTCAGGAAAAATAACCTCATTATTACAAATACCACACTGCCTGCATTTACATGGGAGCCTTTTGAAAAGGCTCCAGAGAAGCTGCCGGTATTATGCAGGTGCAGCGGTTAGTTTCAGCATGTTGCTGGGCATCAAGGGAGAGGGAATAAGCCAAGTGATTATCAAAGACCAGAGCCTTTGGTTTAGAAAATTGAGAAGCAGAAAGTGCACCCCAGATAATAGAAATGAGCTGAAGTCCTTTTTAGGTTCGATTACTCATGCAACTGAGTCATTGTATTGATATTTGATATGGTTCATTTCAACACTCCCCAAATTCTATCAGAGGAAAGTTAGCCATTTCCTGTTTGGCCTCAAAATGCGGTGTTTGATAAGAACCTTCTGTACTAAATCCCCCGTGGGCCTGTGTTCTCTTGAATGGACCAGTGGTTAGGTGGAAATTTTAGGGGGGTAAAAATAGCATGCATTCTTATGAAATGTTCACAGAGCAATCATACCCACCTTTGGCTGACCACTCTAGGCAACTTGTTGCCAGGGAGGTTCCTTCCTGGGCTTCCCTCCAGGATCATTTGCTTTGTCCCTCCAGCAAGGCCATCACCACCCCGACTCAGGCCTGCAACTGCCCCTTTGCGTGTCCGCCACAGGGTGTTGATGTCGTAGCTTCCATTTGAAAGTCACTCCGTGATCTCAATAAGGCAAGTCTCTTAGGATTTTATTTTACTTTGGAAATGAGGAGTTTCTCTTAAAATTAGTAAGCTATCCTATGACATCCAGCCTACAGAGTTGGTGTCTTAGGTATAAGTACGCACCTCCTTGTAAAACTGTATTTTAGAAAGATAAGTGTAGGCAGGAGCTGAACGCATCTCTAAATTGCCAATATAGCAATAGAGCTGACAGCTTGACAAGCTCAATCCCCAAGGTCGACATTTTTAAGCATCCTGGATTCGTAACACATGGGTTTGGGGAAGTCCTGTCTTCCCCAAATCTGGGTTGTGGATCCCACAGAATTTGCACAATGCTTTCACTGCTGAGTTTAAAAGAGGATTTGTTGCCATGAATATTGCTTCAGGTAGGCAGCTGTGACTTTCAAAACTAAATCTAGCCTTTTCTCAAAAATATTTATTGACATTCTAAGAGAAGATTTAATAAATCTCAGTGCCCAGATCTTATAAATCTTTAAAAAGTTTAGTACTCCTGAAAACCAGGTAGTTATAGGTATTTCTATAAAAAAAAAAAAAAGTAACCAACTGCCATGTATATATAAACTGTGTTTGCTTATCAGCTCTTGGTTTGCTCAGTCGTTTAACTTTTATGCATTCCATAGATAAGAAGAAACATAGGTGAAGGTCCTTACCAGCAAATGCTAGAATATATGACTGCTTGGGAAGCCATCTAGCCTTGCTAGGGTAACCCAGTACAGTCGGTGACAGAAGTAACACTAAATCCATTTTCCACTTTCAGAACACATGGTACATACTTGTCGGCTTTCATTAAGTTCCTACACAATTTCTGTCCCACATGGGGACTTTTACATGATGAATGACTATGGGAATGTAGTTAAGGCCACACAACAAATATCATCTGTCTTACCAGCATCTCTTGTGTCAATTTATAGTTGAATGGGCGGTAGCTAACTTCCATGGAGTCCCACTACATTTCTCCCCAGATCACTAAGTTCCCAGTTAACACGCAGATGATACAGGACTTGCCCTTATACCAGAGACCCAAAGGGACCTCATGTCATTTCCGTCTTCTAATAAGTTCCTTCATCAGTCACCTTTACAACATGAAAGATCATTCATTTAAGTCCTGTTCACAACGTGGGCTTTTTTCCGTATTATTGGAAATGCAGACTTTTTCAATTTTCTATTTGCAATAGATCTCTGAGTATAGTAAGAGCTGACTCCTGGTTTGAAGCTACTCTCCTAGGAAACCCTATCCTTTTAAGGACCCATTATTCTATTACAACACCCCAGAGGCATCTCAACAGCAGATACCTTCTGCTAAAACTATTCCAGTTCATTTTTAGGAAACCTGACACTTACCAGCTTTGGAGCACATTGCTCCTGGCTTCTGGGTTTATTTTTGAAATCCCACTTTACTGAGCACAAGCCTGCTTGTTCTTAGCTCTCCTGTGTAGTCATTCTCCTCCCCTCTTCACTCACACCCTCGGTGCACAGTTACAGCTTCAAATGTGATTCTTGTATTTTAATTCCTTGCCCAAAATAACTTGGAGATGATCATGTGTTGAAATTAAATTGCACTGACATGAATTAGAAAAATATAATGAAAAGCTTTCTTTTTTTTATTTTTTGAAAGAATGCATTTTGCATCTTTAAGAGAACTGTAATTGTGTCCTCAAGACAGGGGCATAGAGTTCCCAAAAGGGACATGCTTGTCCCCTAATTCAAGTGTACAACTGTGATCCTGCCTTCAACTCTAATATTTAAACTCTGGCTGTTTGAATCTCCATCCTATAAAATGAAGTTAATACTCAGATTTTGTTTCTACCACCTGAGAAATTATAAACATGAGTAAAAGTCTTTTGTCCCCATTATTTTATGTGGCTTTATACTTGATGATCCATAAGCCACACTTATAACCAACTTTTGAAGGCTCAAATTAGAACAAAAGGATATAGTTTGTGAAAAATGCTTTGTTAAAAACTAATGATTCCACATCTCCTTGATCCAGTCTTTTATGTTTGGGCATGTGGGTTGCTTCCATAGTTTACCTATGGTAAATTGTGCTGCAGTAAACATAGGGGTGTAAGTTTCCTTTTGAATTAATGTTTTTTGTGTCCTTTGAGTAGATTCCAAGGGGTTTCTGGATCATATGGCAGCTCCATTTTTAGTAGTTTGAGAAACCTCCACACAGCTTTCCATGGTGGTATATTCCTAAGCAGTCATAAAGGATAAACTCATGCCCTTCTCAGCAACATGGATGGAGCTGGAAGGGATTATGCTCAGTGAAATGAGACAGAAAGAAAAAGAAAAATATCAAATGGTCTCACTTATAGAGGAACCGAATAAGGAATCGGGGGGAAAGTAACTATAATAATGTAAAAATCAAAGTCGTCAGGCAACTATAGATCAGAGACACTCTGTAGGGGAGGAGGTGGCAGAAGGACCAGGACAGGGGTGGGAAGAGCACAAGGGACTATGGTGATGGTGCGCAGGGGAACTGGTGGTGGGGATTTCACAGGGAAACCGTACAGAAATGAAGGATGATGTAATGAATATATTTTTTTTAAGATTAATGTTTCTGAGGGAGTTTTAGAACTTCCTGGCACCATCTCAGCATGTGAAGACTGAAACCTTTCTTCTGCCACGAGTTCAGGTCAAATCCAAATGTCACTTTAGTCATGCAGGTAATTAGCTTGTTCAAAAGAGCAGCCAGCGTGCTAGTTCGTGTGAGTGTGTCACCCAATAAAGACATGCAGGTGGGAAGCTCTTCACCACTCAGCCATGCTTTCTGCTCTCTTCTGCATGTTTTTCGAAAGGAAGGCTGTGAGGAAAACGTGAGGGTCCAGGGGAGGCAAACCATTTTGGCTGCTCCCAGAGTGGAAGTATTCACCCTGTGCCCCATTTTCTCCTGCCCCTGAGGTTACACACTGGCTTCCCTCCAGAAAGACTTATCCACAGTCTCCTTCTAGTGCTGGCAATAGGCAGAGCTGGGCCTCCAAGGCCCTCACCTCAACACAGGGGAGGTGGGCTGGCCCCATTTCGCAAGTGAGAAAACTGAACTGAGACCCCCAGCAAACCAGCAAGCCATGAAACACTGGGTCTCCGGTGCACCAAGTGTCCCTAGGTGTTCCCTGGCTGTTTCTGGTTTACCAAGCCTGGCTCAAGAGCATGACTGTACAGTTGGCTTATGTTCTCCTCAGTCATTCAGGTTTTTAATTGCTAAGTTGTAATCCTTTCAAGCAAAATGTGAGCTGCTATTGACTGCAAATGATTATAGCACAGTTTGATCACATAGGCTATATATAGAATATGTTCCAAATGATTTGGGGCTAGTTAGGAAAGTCAAATTCACCCTGAGAAGTTGGCTATCACTGATGCTATTCCACTGAGCATGCCTTAAATTCTGACGTTACAAAAGCTATTTCTAAATAGGTCGTTTAACAATGTTAGATTAAAAAAAAAATTGTATCATTTTCCAGATCACATTACTCAGAGTTGTATATAGTAACAACTACATTCTCATAAGAAGTTGACTTGAGTGTGGTTAATGCAGATTTTACGGCCCAGCTAAAATTGTAATTTTTTAAAGCATTTGTAATATGCTATATTTTGAAACGAAGGCCAGAACTTCAAGAGAAAGTATAATCCATATGTAATTCCAGATTTGGGGGGAATGTAGTCTTAGAAAGCAGCAAGTGAGAAAACTGAACTGGGCCTAATTATTTTCATTTTTAAAAATCTCAAGTTACAGAAAGAAAACAGTCCCCAAAGAAGTGTCAGTTTCCTCTGTGATCAAAAAGATGGCAACATCCGCCCCTTTGCCCACCCGGGAGGCCCCCGAGGGCCCTGCCCCGTGGGGGTGTGGCCCTGTGTCGATGCAGACTCTGCCCCGTTTGAAGACCGGCCGCTGTCCAAGCTGAAGGAGTCTGACAGGTGCTCGGCCCGGGAGAACCTCTACTTGGATGCGCTGTCTCTGGACGATGAACTGGAGGAGTCTTCTGCCAGAGAGCCCCACATGGAATTCAGGAACTGCCTCCCTGAGGTTCGCCGGAGCTTTCCTGTCCAGTTAACTGCTGCAGAACCAAGAGTTATTGGGAAACAGTCACATCTGGCAGGCTCTCCAGGGGTTGGTTATGCAGCCCCTGGATTGAAGGAACGTGAAATGTGCACTTTGCCAAGAGCTTTGCTTGGTGGTGATTACCCCAAACTCATAGTCTGTGCTGTGGTCAGTGTCAGTTGGCCACATTATGTCCGGTTTGGAAGTACAGGACACCCACCCTGTGGAGAAGGAAGGGTCTCACAAATGGGGTAGCCAACAAGAAACATGGCAGGAAATAGATTGTTTTGGAAACAATCTTCAACTTTTCTTAAAATCATAGTACAGGTCTGACTCTAGAAAACTTATGAGTAACCAAGAAACTTCTGTTTTAAAGAAAATGCCTAGCCTCGCCAGCATAACATACTTCCATAAACATCTTATTCAGTACAAAGGATAAAAAGTTGAACAGTTAGAAGTCTAAGTGTTGATCTAAACTAGATAAGCAAATAAGTGGGCTGAACTGCATTCTGAAGTTTCTGTGATACAATATAGATTTTTTTAAAACTGGATTTTAAAACTTGACAGTGGGAATCATTAACTGTGAGTCAGTTAGCAATCATTGCATCTGTCATTTATTTTAAGAAATTGTTATTGAAATATTCCTGACATATAGCATTATATTAGTTTCAGGTCTATGACAATGATTCCCTACTATATATTGAAACACTCATCAAAATAAGTCTGCTTGATGTATGTCACCATACATAGAGATTTCCTTCTTGTGATAAGAACTTTTTTTTTTTAAAGATTTATTTATTCATGGTACAGGCCAGAGGTGTGGTGGGTGAGATGATTCACTCGAGACAGAGTGGGGAGCAGAACAGGCAGACTGACAAAATACACTGCTGAGGTAGCAGCAGGCAGTCCAGAAGAGGTCTGCTATGCCATGTGGGTCAGCTCCGTGGCTGGGGATCAAACTCGTGCTGCAGTGACTTTGGAGCGCTTCCTAATG